TATTTTATTTTATTTTATTTGGGTAGACTATACCTAGCTAATATTGTAATAATCATGGCATGTATTTATGTGAAGACCAAGCAAATTCAACCCGTGGTAGGTAAAGAAGACGAAATTGAATGGCATTTCGTAGTGAGTACTGTATTAATTGATCAAAATTTGTATCTGAAAAGACAACAATTGTGGAATTAATGTCGTTCGAGAAGAAAAGTATATTAGTATAGTACTATACTAGTGTGTATCCCGTGCAATGCGCGGGTAAACAATATTAAATATTTAGTATAAATAAGTATCGAGTTAGAGTCACCCAATGCAAGAAGTGAGGAACCACTATTAATCCTCTCTTAAAAGAGCAAGAAAAAATAAAGATGATGGTAAACGATATTAAATAATAATTATAAATCAACGATGTGGGATTAACATGTCATACAATTTATGGTATATCATTTTATTATAAACGATATAAAATTAGTTTGTTCAAAAGAACATAAAATTTGTATGTTGAAACAATTAAAAACTCCTAACATATTAGCTTTATTTTATATTGAATGAAGACTAAGAGAATTTTTTTTAAAAAAAAAAACTGTCTATTTTCAAAATATCCTCTTGATTTTTGAAACAATACATTTGCAATTTGACTTAATTAAAATTCTTTAATTTGTGAAAATAAAAATGTTACAACCTGTTCTTGCGCAAATAAAATATTGACGATTTTATAATTAGATTAGTTTTGTGTTATTTTATATATAAAAAAATATAAAAAAATAGAATAAAAATATTGTATATTTTGATCATTAAATGAACTCTAATTTATTTTATTTAAAAATAAAAGTATCTGATTAAAACAATTATAGTAGCCGAGTTGATGTTAAAAGAGTTTCTGATTTTTTGTAAATACTAACTTAAATTTATATTATTAAGTTAAGCGTAATTTATTTTTTTAATAAAGTAAAATTTGCAACGTGGTACACAATTATATGTTAAAGAAAGTTTTTTTTTTTTTTAATTTGTGAAAATGAAAAAGGAACAACCTAATCTCGAACAAAAATAAGTAACAAACTCCACATTTAAATACAACAATTAATGATGCACATTTGTATATAAAAAAATAAAATAAAAACTTGCTATTAATAGCATGCAATAATGCTTAACCATAATTGACTACAATTTGACTTGCCATTTTTAAACAATGGTAATTCTTTTTATATAGAT